TACTTTAATACTTGGTTTTAAAATACTTGGCTTTAAATATGTAAAAATTGTATGCTCAAAATCAGTTTATATTTATTCAGTCTGCTGTGCATCTGCTATGTAGATGTTGTGAAGCAGTTCCTGAACATATGCATTGTAGAGCCCATTAATATCTTAAGGCAAATCAGATTTCAGCTTCTGGAGGACTGTTTCAGTAATTGCAAGAGATTTCAGAAACTGGAGGCATCTAAGTCATTCTTGCTTGAAAATCAAAGCTCCTAGATCCTCCTATTAGAGCTAATGCAGGGATTGAGAGAGTACAGTTTAGCTTTTTATCTATCTGTCTATATATATTTAGAAATGTGAAGAAATAAATTAAGTAGAAAGTTGCCCTAAAGATTTTGTTTCTGTGAATGTTTGGTATAGCTCCTTGACATTAAAAAAAATATGCTAAAAAATAGTAATAATTCTTTTCAGTATGTTCTGTAATATTCATAGGGAATTCTTTATGAATTCAGAGCACCGGACAGGAAAATTATTTTCTCTTTGTCTCATTAATGTGGCATTTTTATGATAGAAATGTCTATTTCAGTGGAGTCAGTTATACATTAAACAGCAAAGATATATGGTAGATGTTCTACTCTTTGGTTTCATAGAAGGAAGTTACTCTTGAGCAGTCTGGATTCTCTGAAACACAATACAAAACCCAAAGGGTACGGCAGAGGAGGGTGACTAGTCCTGAATACAGAATTTCTCACTCCTCCTGTGAGGCTTCAGAGTCTGTGACAGAAAAAGGAGTAGGTAGGTTCTCCTTCTGAATTTGGAAAGAAAGACTGCACAAGCTTTACTTTATAAAGGATAAATAGGATTGTCATTTAAGCAGAATAGCTTAAAAAGGCTATGTATGTAAAAGGCTACAATACCTACCAAAGTACTTCTGACATAAAGGACGAACTATGAAATTTGTGTCCAGAGTGGTTATCACGGATCCATGTGTATCTGTTGGTGCTCCAGTATGGATCTGTATGGAGTTGTAGTTCTTTTGGAGGCACAGAGGAAGAGTTACGATGTAAGACACATTCCCTTTATTTCCCCTGAACAGGGGAATTTGTTTCATCTTTCTGTATATTTGGATGATGCATTCTGTTGCTGCTTCTGCATCTGCCAGCACAGTCTCTATTTTACATTTTTGTGAAGTCTCCTTAACATATTTTGGGGATGGCTTTTGTTCACAAGTTTATAAAGATGGGACAAATAAACAGACTTAATTTTCCTTTTGTTTATCTGGGGATTACCAAGTCTAAAAGTCACAATGATTGATTGTTTCCACTCCAGGGCTTCAAGGACATAGCTGGACTCTTCTCATAACAGCTGGTGCAATGTTCAGTGTTCTTTGTATCTAGCATTATTCATGTACTGAACCAAGCCAGAAATCAAATACATTGATTTTTAACATTAGTCAATTCTGCAAACAGCTCTAGGCATGTGTTAGGTGACTGTCATGCACAATTAGTACATTTATGCAATTTTTTTCAGAAATAATGATCGTTTCCATAGTTGGCTTCATACAATTACAAATCATTAGTAAGGCAGAAGACAAAAATAGCCTCATGATCTGAAAATAAGATAAGCAAGGATTCACTTTTTTTTTTTTTTTTCAGTTAGAAAAATTGCTTACCCCACTTCTGGTAGGAGCCTCCTTTGATCCTGCCCCTCTACTCTGCTCTCGTGAGACCTCACTTGGGGTATTGTGTACAGTTCTGGTGTCCTCAACATAAAAAGGACATGGAACTGTTGGAACAAGTCCAGAGGAGGGCCACGAGGACGATCAGGGGACTGGAGCACCTCCTGCATGAAAACAGGCTGAGAAAGTTGGGGCCGGTCTCCAGTTGGAGCCTGGAGAAAAGAAGGCTGCGTGGAGACCTCATAGCAGCCTTCCAGTATCTATCTGAAGGGGGCCTATAAGGATGCTGGGGAGGGACTCTTCATTACGGACTGTAGTGATAGGACAAGGGGTAATGGGTTCAAACTTAAACAGGGGAAGTTTAGACTGGATATAAGGAAGAAGTTTTTTACTGTAAGGGTGGTGAGGCACTGGAATGGGTTGCCCAGGGAAGTTGTGAACGCTCCATCCCTGGCGGTGTTCAAGGCCAGGTTGGACAGAGCCTTGGGTGACATGGTTTAGTGTGAGGTGTCCCTACCCATGGCAGGGGGGGTGGAACTAGATGATCTTAAGGTCCTTTCCAAACCTAAATATTCTATGATTCTGATTCTATGATTTAAAAATACATGAAACATTTTTCAGACACGTACCTTTCAATTGCCCTATCCAATAAAGATGCTATTTGAAGATAGAACATAGATAATAACAACCACATACCTGTTCAGGTTTTCTTCTGCCAATGACTTTTGAGTTGCTTTAAAATTATAAGTTAACAAAGTTATCTAGCTTTAGGATTAGTTACTATTTCAAACTCTTGCACTCAAAAAAACACTACAAAAAGACCCCCCAAAACCCAAACGCAACAGAAGAAAAACCCAACCCCACTCCAATATTTGTAACATAAACAGATAATTTCCCTGGCAAAATTCATAGCATTTTCTAGATTGGAAGCTCGAGTAACTTGCACTACCACTAATATCAATAATTGCATTGAAATAAATGCTACTGGAAAAGCAGTTCTCAATTTTTGCAAGCTGTAAATTGCAGTAAATACCAGTTTTAAGCACAGTATGTAACTTTTACTAAATGCCTCTTGTAGCTTAAACAATAGACTAGTTTGAACCATGCAATTGTTTATTTTACATCTAGGCAATAATCATTGTTTTACCATGTAGGCAAAGTAAGCAATAAGATATTTCTCTTAAGTCTCTGTCAGTCATTTTAGAAAGATTGTTTTGCAGAAAGTAACTTTTCACCTGTGTTAAAAAAATTACTGTTTTATGGAACAGAATATAAAATCCACTTCTTATCTGTAACCTAAACTTTTTTGCAAGGTGGTGACCAGGATCCCTTTCAGGACTGGCTACAGACATGTTCTGTCAAGAAAGGTATTTCTTTGACAGCAAATTTGTACTACTTATTCTTCAAATAGAGTCTTTTGAAAACCTTTGGCACAAGCATAGGTCTGATTTCCTGAAGTGGCAGATACGCTTTATTCAGCTCTCCCCATGTATCACAGGAGTTCTCTGCAGCTCTGAACTTAGTCTACTTTAGTCCTGAAGATGCTACTTATTTTCAGGTTCTGCAATGTGGACAATATTGTCCTTTATAAATATGTGAGGCAACAAAATTCCAGTAAATTCAGAGAGAAAGCACTTCAAAGAAAATCTCACTTTCAGGAAACATCTTCATTTACAATGGGAATAAAGACTATCTCTACCCCGGGCTATGAGATCCAAACAGAAATCCTGTTTGCATTTACAGCTCTGCTTTTAATATAGCCTTCTTAAATAAATTTGAATTTAACTGCTTATCCACAGTTGTGCAACACAACTGGACTTTCCTAAGGGAGCACGTGTGGGATCGCTCTAAGCCATGTGCAGCTGAGAAGGAGGTAGCAGCTTAGGTATAGCTGGAGTGGGTGTACTTCCAGATCCAGACTCTGAAGGGTCACGCATGTTCTCTAGCCTTCTGAACATCCAGTATGGGCTTGAGAAGAACCTGTTGTGGTATCTGGCAGAGAACTGGAAGATGAGGGCTAATGGGAGAGCACACTTCAGTCACGCTGCTGTCTTCTTTAAGTAAGCCTGTGCTCATCTGTAGAACTCTTTGTGAGAATGACATAGCTTAGGGCTGTATTATTACCGAATTCAAATGAAAAATAAACCTTTTAAGACTGGAGGAAAGCCCTTCTTCAGGAACCATGCTTATAACTGTAATAAAGCAAGTATTTAACTTAGATGCCGGTACATGAGGGAAATGGAAACAACCTTTTTCATGTGTTCCTGCTGCATAACGTATAGCTGATGCTTTTCTTAAAATACCTGAAGAAGTACCCTGATCCCAGGAGAATAGGCAGTTTAAAATCTACTTACGATCCACAAATGAAGTGAACAGCATTCTGAATCTGCTTAGCCTACTGCCTTCCTCTGCCCACATCCGCACCACACCCATACCAGTCTGCAGCATGACATCGTTTGCTACCGTACTGCAGAACTTTGCCTTCAGGTTTTCAATAGAACTACTTCCATCATACACAGCAACAGAGTTTCTTTTGCATTCATTTGAATGCTCCATTTGATAGTCGAGAAATCGTACATAAATCTTGGGATTACCAAGTCTAAAAGTCACAATGAGCACAAAACACACCGAAGACTATCTCTATGTACAGAGAACAGTTTTGTGGTAAGAAGTTAAAAAAATTTCAAGTCCATAAATTGGAGCAATGCAGAAATTAATGACCAGGTACATGGATTAAAGTAAATACTAGTTTGAATATGAGCTTAATGCTTCATAGTGCAAGTCAGCAAGTGCTGCTTCAGTGACACAGAAAATTGAGAACTTGGGGACACACACACACAAAACAAACAAAACAACTAAAATTAAGAAAAAATAAACAAACAAAAACAAACAACCACCCCCCCCAAAAAAAAACAACAACCCCACAAATGTGTTCTATTATCTGGAAGTCTCATAACTCTGAAGTACCATGATAAGTAGCACCTGTAGGGAAAACAAACTTGGAAACATGCATCTGAAAGTGAGGATTGTCTGTTACTAGCACAATATTTCAAAGACATTGAAAAGAAGCATCTTAGCTTTACAGGATTGTTCCACAAAAATGTATATTAACTTTATTACAGTACACACAAATATTGTGGACGGATAATAGAAATCACCACCCTTCCATGAGATGCATCAAGAACAAAGTTATCCCTTATAATGTCAGAAACGTAAAAAAAGAACCGTAATAGAATGTTTAGAAAAAAAAAAGTTTATACCATTACATTTCAATTTAAAAGTGTAAGAATTGCTGTCCCAACTTAAAACAAAAAGCCTTTCATACCTCTAAAGTATTAGAAACTTGTAAACCTTTTCATTTTTTCCAGAAGTATCAGGTGCAAATGCATGGCAAATATAAAATCTGTTGACTTATTATAAATACTACCTCCTGAAAAACCTGCAGTTACAAGAATATAAAAAAGTATTCTAACGCCCATTGTTAGATCTTAGCTTCAATCTACACTGCATTACAAGTCCAAAGCCAGATCTGATTTGGACACATACCTAGAACAAGAACATGCTGTTTGCCTTATTTTTTACATCAATATTCTGATCTCTTAGTACGGTTTTGCTTTCTATGTTTGATTTATTAGTGAATATTAAGGATGTGGAGAGCACTAACAGAAAAAAGGTTGTATTTATCAATGGATAGTAGCAACATAAGCGTTCTCAGTCTGCTGCCCTCCAAGAAGTCAATTTCCATAAGGATAAAAGAATATTGGCCCCCCCCCCCCCCCCCGGCCTCCATAATAACTTTGCTTAGCAGTAAGTCATTTTCATTTATGAACCTAGGACCACTGGTAGGTGACAGAGTACTAAGTTCTTCACACAGACTTCAGTAAAGAACAGTGAGAAGTACACCAGCTGCTAATGCTGTCATATACCAGTAGCTGCTGTTGCAAGGACAATTACTGGCAACATCTCTCGCCTTCCACACATAATAGATTGGCAAAGGCTTTACCCCTGTGGTGATTCTCTAGCTCTTGGTTTTAGTAACCTAGATCAGTATAGGAAGTCAAACCACCTATAAAGGCAGCCTAAATAACAAAGTGCTAGTAGACATAAAAATGAGTTTATTTCTAAACAGCAATTTAAAAATGACTAGATTAAATAAGACATTCTTAATGAGTAAACATTGTAAATGCTGAGCCTAAGCCTGACAAATGCTAATGCTTTCATAGCTGAATAGTGGAAGCTACGTTCCTTCAGTCCTTTATCAGTGCTAAAAGCAGCACCCAGCTTCCAGCTCTAGAGAAACAGAAGCCTTCTTTTGTTGTGCAGGGAAAACAGAATAGAGTAGTAGAGTAATACAGCTATAATCTTAGACAGTGATCTGTTTTTTTAATACTGCATTTTAATAAGCACTCAGGGTCATTCAGCCAGCAGCATGACTGTGGAAGATTTAAGAGTGAGCTGTACTGTTACCCTTATGCTTGGCACAAGACATTTTCCTTTAAATACCTTTTCCTTCATTAGAAAGCATGCCCAGCCGTTCATCTTGCTAAAGAACATTTGTTAGTCCTTGCCATTCAAGCAACATTTTGGCCAGCTAACAGGCCCACAGATAAAGCAATTCTGAAATAGTGTTATATTTTACCCTACTTGAAAGGATTGACAGCACTCACATCCATTTTGAAATAGCACCTCACTGTGTTTTGTGTACACATATATAAAATATATGAGCTAACAGGAGATTCATGGAGTTGCTATGAAAGGAAGTGTTCAGTGCTCTTATGCTGGGATAGTGCGTTGAACAGCATGAACAAGAAGCTAGTATTCCTCATTATGTTTCAGTTTCATAAAAATAAGGTTCAAGGAGACACCATGTTCACTCCTCTGACCAGAACCCTATGTTCCAGTCAGATTACACTGCTATGGCAGGACTTCTTTTAACAGAAGTTCAAAGGTATCTGCACACATCTGCCAAAGATAATTGTGGGGGTTTTCTTTTTCTTTTTTTTTTTTTAAATAAGCACACTGTACCTACATGCTGAATCAGATTTGGAGAACATTTCACATTTAACACCACAAAAAAAAAAAAAAACACAACAAAACAGTACCTCTAATGTAAGCTTTTGAATTTTTGTTAAGCAGAATTTTAAGATGGGAAACATGTTCCTAGCTAAACAATTGCTCATCGTTTGTTTTGTAAAAAACCCCACACAACAGCAGCATTTTCAATAAGCAACTCCCCCAGCCTATGGAGTCAAAAGCTCATGAATATAGCTTCCAATCAAGGCATAAAATCCTTCACCAACTCTTTCTTCTCACTGGTTTTCTTCACATTCTCCCCTTTCCCTTAAAAAAAAAAAAAAGTAAAATAAATATACATATAAAAAAATAAAAACTTTTGGTGCTGTAACATCTTCTATTAAATTTAATAGTCCAGTAAAAGTTGTAGCAGTATCCAAGATTGGTTCTACCTAGTTTGGGTTCTGAGAATTAGTTTAAACTGTAAACTATACCTTCACACAACAGCGAGTGGAAATAGAATTTATATTCTAGATCCAGTTGGGTTTTCCAGGTTTTTTTGTTTTTTGTTTTTTGTTTTTTTTTTTTTATTCAGGGTTTTTTTTGTTTGGGTTGTTTTGTTTGGGTTGGGTTTTTTTTGTTGTTTTATTTTAACTGACTTAATTACATAATCAAATCCTGTACCTCTGTAAGAACATAAGTTAACACCCACACTCAGAGCAGGAGGTGTGCAACTGGGTCGCATCCCCGCTACCAAAAATATTTAGTGGCAGACCATGAAGATCTATTAAGCCTAGACTGATATCAATGTAATGTATTGTGTCTTGGTATTTAAAGTTAGTTATTAAGAACAAGCCAAAAAACTCTTACCTTTTAGATACCTTTGGGTTGGCTTTGAAATTTGTGGTGCTATAATCAGAAGCAGGAGACTTAACAGCTTCAGTCACACTTGCAGAAGAGTGAAGAGACCTAATAAAAAAAAAAAAAAAAAACCACCAAAAAAGCCAACAAACCAAACAAAAAAAAGAATTAGACGTGGTCATTGCTTATTTCTTTTACTTCCTCATCTACTTCCACTGTAGCATTTTAGCTAGGATGAAGGCAGACAGCTGGTGAACTAGAGAATGCTAAAGTGCTCTACAACAGAGGCCTAGTGTATATATAAGTGAAGAAGCCCTCCTGAGTTAGACATGATATAATGGGACCTAACACCATAGAGGAAATAAAGTAATTTATGTTAGTAGTTGAGAGAGGGCTGCAGTACTCAAGTTGAACATAATTACGGTATCATCCACAACTTTCTATCTGAGTGTGCAAAGTTTTCTTGAGAAGTCTTTTTCAGCAATAATTGCATTTTTCTAATTAGTTCTCAGGATATTTGCCCTGTGTGGTTGACCTGAATCCAGAGAACAAATTTTTCCAGTTTTGGATTTTGACTCAGTTCACAGATATCTTGATGACAGAAGTTTACTTCACTCATTCCTCTAATCTCCCTTTCCCCACACACGTTTTGAAGATATAAGGGCATGTGGGTTTAATCCCAGCATTAGTGTACTCAAACAACAACAAGCTTCAAGGACTGAGAACTTGCAGACCTCCCCAGGCAAAGCAGCCTTCTCTGGTTAGATTTTGTGGAGCCAAAACTTCTGTAATCCCAGTTCAAGAAAGCAATTAAAATCTTTTAGGCACATTAAACACTGATATGTTGTTTAACTTACGTTCAGATTGTTTTCAGATAAATGAATCAAGTTTCTGTGCATATAAGTACGCACACTGGAGCTGTAGGAGTAGCAGGAGCTTCTAAGTTTCTACTTTCATTCAGATCTCCATGACGTTTTTAATTCATTAGATCCTATAGTGAGACTTGAATTTGGTCCACTGTGACTGTAAGCAGCTTTAACATGTTTTTTGCATGTGTGCATTTTCCTACTAATGACACCTCCATTTTAGCTGTGTAATAACTATTACAGAACAATTCATTACTCCTAACAGAGCAAGAGAGAGGTTTCCCTTACCGACGCGCTTCCATTCAGTATTGTTTGGAAATTGACATTGATAACACAGATTCAGAACTGCACACCATTCAGCGAGCGAGAGGTACCACTACATCCCTTCATCAGCTAGAGTTACTTTTTTGTTCAGGTGGGTATCTCTACAACACATCCGATTCAGGTTTTGGAAAATATCTTTATCAAATATATTCTTCTTGGGCTCAAATCTCAGCTACTTCATTTGAAAAGCTTTATTCAGCATTCACAGGTTCAGGTGAGTTAAACCATTAAAGATCAGTCTTACCTAGAAAGAGGGTCCAGTTTGCCATTTAGACTAGGCGACAGTGAAGCCAACAACTTACTTTTGGAAATCTGGAAATGCATATACAAGACTGCAGTTAAAAGAAGTGTCATTTTAAGACAAATGAAATACAGTATTATTCCCTGGAAATATCCAGGAATTCGGGGGGGGGGGGGGACACACACACCAAAGAAAAGCAGTTAAGCCCCATAAGTTATACATACACATAAAATGTCAAGTTCCATAATGCCCAAAGATCATATTGAAGTTCACAGTATCACAGTATGTTAGAGATTGGAAGGGACCTCAAAAGATCATCTAGTCCGATCCCCCTGCCGGAGCAGGAACACCTAGATAAGGTTACACAGGAACGTGTCCAGGCGGGTTTTGAATGTCTCCAAAGAAGGAGATTCCACAACCTCCCTGGGCAGCCTGTTCCAGTGTTCCGTCACCCTCACCGAGAAGAAGTTTCTTCTCAGGTTTAAGTGGAACCTCTTGTGCTCCAATTTGTACCCATAAGTTCTGTACAATCAACCACCTTTCTAATTGATTCAGAGAAAACTCCAGGAACAAACTTGCCAACAAAGTTTTCACGCGCCCGGAGACACGGGGTATAGCTCCTCCTAACATGTGTCCCTGTATTGCTACACAAGCCATCCTTATATAATCCCTGGGCATACATACATATTCATAAAGCTACATATGGATTACATCATTTTCTAGAAAGTTCCCTGCATGTGTACAGAATTGTGGTGCTGGTCTCTGAGGGTCGTCTACTTCTTTCAGCAATCTTCATCACTTCTGGCAGCCTTTGAAGCATGCCCAGTAGATGCTCATACCAGTTTAATTGGTTTGTTTGCACCAGAGACATAATAACCCTCCTGTCCTCCTACTTATCAGTTAGTTTAACTGTAGCCCATCCTGGACACCTGCGGTTCCCAGATACTCCTTACCCTGTGTCCTGTTCTTCTAGACTGTTTTTCTTAAAACTATGTCAACTATAATGATTTATCTTGTGAGATTTCTCAGTATATTCTTTGGCTGTACTCTATTTTTTTTTCCTCTAGGTACCATGCACCTCAGTAATTTTCCATTGCTACTGTTACAAAGCCAAACTTAACATTACTTAGAACTAATTCTTAAGGGTTCTATATTCCATTTTTTTATTTTGTGCCCCTTTGTCTCATAATACACACCCTTCCAACCTTTAAGCTCTGTAACTTCACATGTAATCTTTTAGTCTTTGTTGTCATCTTGCTACATATTTCCATGTCTGGCTGAGGCATTACATCGCACAAACTGAGGTGGTAAAATTAACACACTTGTGCCGTTTTAGAGATCAAGGTGGAAAAGAATGCACAAGTCATTCAAATACATAAAATCATGTATTAAATCAAAGATATGGTTGGGGTTTTATTGGTTGTGTGTCCGTCTGTGTCGTGTCGTCCGTCCCCCCCCCCCTAATCAGCAGAAAATTGGTCCTCAAGCCATCAACACTTGCTGGCAAATGAAGAGAGAAAGACTATGCCAGTGCTTGCAAGACTGTGTGAATTAGTTACCAGAAGCACAGGTATCTTATTTCATTATGAAATTAATTTGCTACATAGTTTAGCCTTGCTTAAAATATACCCAATTTAAAACAATTGATTTTTCAAGCAAACAGCAAGCCACTGGCCTGCCCAGTCATGGATCTAGCAGAGTTCATAGCAGGTCACAAATGATAAAGCCCTTATATTGATTGTTCAAAATAAACTTACCTTTTTAGATATTTTCTTTGCAGAAATATGCTTGGCATCTTCATATTCAACAATTGTAGTTACCTTAACTAGAAATACATTAGAAAGATGAGAAAAATGAAAAGTTTTATGAAGAGCACAAAAAACCATTTCAAACTCAATTGGTTTGAAGCCTATTTACCTACTGAAAGCTACTGATGACCACTCACCTGGATCAGAGTTGAAAGCAAGCTATGCATGCTCATCACAGACACAGTGACACACAGCATTGTTAGAAGGCACTAAATACCCCTTCAAGCCCCAGACAAAATAGAATTACTTTTCAGTGGCAGTGTCTTTCTTGTTGCATATTTTGGAATATGAAGAGAAATGGCATTTCCCTTACAAACTTCAGTGGGCAGGAAAAAGCAACATACTTGCTGAAGAAAGCCCTAAGCAGCTCTGCTACATGTGCAGCCTATTACTCTAGAAGAGATATGAGAAATGCATAAATGTGCTGAAAGAATGTTGATGGCATTTTGACTGTTCTTTTTTCTTTCTTTTTAATTCCTAACAGCAGTGTTAAAATATAAGGGAAGTAGTCTAGTCAGGAAAGCTCTGAAGTAAAAATAAGGAAATTAAAATTTATTGCTTCAGAATGAAAGCTAATTACTAAACCGTAGCATTGTTATGGAAGATACAAGCCATGAAAGTCAGGAGTAATTTGAATAAAAATGGAAGCAGAAGAAAAGTAAACTGGCTTTCTAGGAAGAGTTAATAAATTAAGCCAGTGTTAATTCCTCCAAAAGCAGGATTCTAATCCAAGGGAAGGCAGCATATGTGTTAGAACATACGCAGCAAAGAAACTGGAAGACCAACATGGCACTTAGAAAATAAGCAAATAATTTATTTTGCCGGAGCAGGAAACTTCTGCAAGTTTGCAATTCAGCTAGAATTACGTGAAAAGATCACAGGCCTTTTTCATCTCTTGAATGGTTGTATTGGGATTCTTAAAATTCTAAGGGAAGTTGATGAACTGTGTAACTCAAACTCAGTTACCTAGGCATGCTGCAAAGGCCGTCCTTAAACTTTAAAAATTCCTCAGATAGCCATTATTTTGACAGAGAAGAAATCTATCCATGTGAAGGCAGAGGTCTCCTGCTCTGCGTGAGAGATGCGCCTTCTACCCACAAGGTCTTCAGTATGTTCCTCAGATAAGCTTGAGTCTAGACTTGATGTGTTTTGAGTGAGTACAGCCTACAGCTACATCTCAGGCTGCTATTACAGACACTAAGGACCTTTTGCACGGTATGGTTTTTCATGCATCTGCCTAATGACAAACATCTCCAGCTCTTGTTTAATTTGTGAAGCAGGGGAGATAAGCATAGATGAATACCACACTTACTACTGTTGTATTACCTGTTTTTCTGTCCTTTTGCCATATCTCTCTTTTAACCTCAGCTACAGCCAAAGCCTTTTAAAACTGAATTGTAAAGAATTCACTAGACCAAAACCAACCAACTTTGGGGGAAAAAAAGATTTACAAACACTTAACAAGCTCTACTGAAAATATGGCAAAAGAGCGAGCACAGGAAAAGGCAGGCAAAACACCCTGGCTTTTCCTTTCCAGTGTTTTCCAGAGGGAGGTTGCCAGCTCTGTCTCCCCTTGCACACTATGAAAAGGTGCAGCCTGTGCCATACTATTTCATGCTTCATCTCACTATTGTGTGATTTTCAGTATCCATTTTTTTATTCCTTTTCTTCTACTTCTGCTGTCTTTGTTCTCAGCTATATTGAGAAACTTTCTTCCATTGATGTCTTATCTCACAAACATGGGTGTGAGCTGTTAAATGCTAGCATATGGGCTGAGAGATGGTATTTGCATTTAATGATTGACTTTATGTATCTGCTGTGAAATTACACGGGAAGCTAAAAATAAATGAGGACACTTTTAGTAGAACTATTCTCTGTATGTGTAAATATCTGTTACACAGATTTTAAAAGTCCTTTCATTGCTGCAGTTGTATCAGTTTTAAAAAATTACTTTTGTTACAAAATCTAATTGAGGAAATTAAAAATGTCTAGGCTTATTTTTCTGAGGAGACTGCACCATATCAGATCTAATAGATTTTATCATCATAATTCTGCCAGAATTGAAGCTTGAGAAACTACTCTTGGAATACTAAGAATTATTTTTCTGTAATGTTTTAACTCTATAACTTAGGATGATGATCTAATCTCAGGACTGACCCAACTATAATTCTGCCTTCTGCCAACATTCGATAATTTATTAAAGTACTTAAGCGTAAGACCTGATGCACTCAAATGGCAACGTAGGGAGAAAATGGTTTTATTATTATTTTGAGACAAGGAAGTACAAAATCTTTTGTAAATAAGTAAAATCAGTTCTAAATAACATTGTTTGATGGCTTTGTAACATTAGCAGTAGAAAGTAACTCAGGTAAATGTTTCACAAAAACTAGTCAGAATACACCCAAAGAACATAATGAGAATCCTTGTATAAGATAAGTCGTTGTAATTAGCATAGTTTTAGGTCCTTATGACCTTAGTGCAAAAAATAATTGTAAGAAAAACAGGACAGAAAAACAGGACATGTAGATAAAGAGTACCTGAAACTAGCAGATGTCCAGGATGTGCTGTGGCTAAGCTAACCGAAGGACGAGATGATTATGTCTGTAGTGTTACTGAACAAGTTAAGCTGGTGTAAGCATTATCTACTGCAAATGCTTCAGAGATTGCCAGAAAGTGATGAAGATTGTTGGAAGAAGTAAATGACCCCCAAAGACCACTACCACGTTGTTGTGCGCATGCAGAAATGGGTGTGGAATTATGTAAAGCGGTTCTCGGATGGTTAATGAATATGTATGACGTTTAATGAATATGTATGTTAAGCAACAATATAACCACAGTCTGTTTGAGGTTTGGCTGAGACAAGCTAGGAAGAGCTATCCCCCGTGTCTCCCAGTGCTGCAATAAAGAATACCTGCTTGTCAACTTAAACTTTGTTGGCAAGTTCTTAGCGAGTACTACAAATCAGTTTCTGGAAGAACTGCTACTATTACTTAGTATAGGGTTCCATGAGTTGAGTCACTTCCTCAAATGCTCAAATATATTAACAAAGTTTTAGTTTCTTTCTTGTCTTGTCCTCTTACTACCATTTTTTAGGTTGCTGGTTTTGAACTTTTAATTTGGAAGTTGGTTAATAGGGCTGTAAGCTAAAATGTTAAGTTGTAAATTAAAACCACTCTGTTAAGAGCAAGATAGGCCTTGGGGAATGTATAAAAAAAGGGCGGCCTTTGAAGATAAAAAAGGAGTAACCAAGACATATGGGGTCAGTTCTTCAAGATAAGGAACAAATAAGAACAAACTGACCTAAACCACAGAGAGTTTTTAGTAATCCACAAGTCTTTTGCACCTGCAGAAGCACACAGGTCAATCAGCAGACACAGTGAGGAAGACTGTCAGCAAACACCAGAGACCCCTCAAAACCACCACTCATCAAGGAAGCGCATGTGTAATTAAAACGCAAATATTACAATTAGTTCCAGGAAATCTAGTGAATATGTAAAGCATTTCCCAGAAAGGTTGTAAATATACATAAGTTTGTTGGATACATGGATGCTGCTTATAGACTCCAGGCGCGCTCACCTTTGCAAAATGACGTGTGTGTGCACCCAGCGCTGCAATAAGGAATTCCTGTATTCTAAAACTCAAAATCGAGCCTTAGAGAGTTTCTTTGTCTGTCTTTTGTGATAACAGGGCTGGTTAGTTAACCATTAAGGGTATGTAAGAAGGCATAGAGTAGGCTTGTCCTCTTGGCAGCTACTGCTTAGAAATATTTTTTTAATTTTTGTGTACATGCAAGCAGTGATATGTGCTTTAACGCACATACAGGAGCAAAATGAAATATGTGTATACTATATGGAGGAAAAAATATGTACTCTTCAGTGCAACCCAAGTTATTAACCATTCTATGTCTGAAACATATAGCTGTTGGGTTTTGTTGAACAGGCTATAGCTATTGTATTTTGGAATTATGAACAGAATTTTATCCTTCTCTCTGACCAACAATAAAGCTCAAGTTGTTTTAATGAGCATAAGATAGTGATGATTTCATAAGCAGTCTCTAGATCTGCAGGCACAATCACGAATACCAGGTACCCAGGTAACGTATGCTGATTTTTGGCTCGAACAGTTACTATGCCCCTTTAAGGCTCGGCAAGAAAAGCTCTAGCAAATTTTATTGTGTCACTTTAAGAGGGTGTGATGCTATAGCTAAGTCAGAAGAAGAGTAACAATTCCTTAGCTGCTTCCAGGTAATGCCTTTCATTTTAGCTCAGGCTACTGATGAAAGTGGGGTTTAAGGTGCTGGATTGTGAATTACACTGGGGAGGAGCAGGTACATGTTCTTTTGACATTGAACAGAACCAAATTTTCCAATAGAACCACTGGAGGCAAAATTTTAAGATGTGGCAGCAAGATTTAAGGGCTGTTAGCTAGCTGGTTTTGCCTGCGGTCTTCCAATAAAACCAGAGTCCAAGTCAAATGTCCTTGAAAATTGCTGCTTGAACAGTGTTCACAGTTATTTTGTATTTTAAATTTCAAATAATAGGAAGTCAAGACTGTGGACTTGCTCTATAAATTTAATTTCAGGAACAATCCTCTATATGGATTTCCTAAGCCAGTGGTAACTCACTCATTTCAGTGAAAGTGAGACATGTAAATCACAGCTAGTGACTATTACCTGTTACTAACGACTTAGAAACCCATTATATATTGAATGATATGAATGAAACTCACCTTAGCATTTGGAGTAGCTTTAATTGTCCATCTGCAGTCAACTGGTTGCCCTGGTTTTGTTTTTCCTTCTTGTTGTACTTGACTGGAATGTACTATTCCATCAGCTCCTGAGAGTTCAAACTGGCAGTCTAGGGAGAAGATATACTTTGCTGTCAAATTCAGTATGATATTAATTTTAAATTTAATGTATAAAGAAATTGTTACTGTAATACTAGACCTGGGATGGGATTTAAAATACCTCCTAGGTAAGTAGAGTCAGGATCTGTAATAGAAAGAAGTAATGAATCACACGGGCTATCAGTGTTTATGATTCACTTCAAGGTTTAGTATACTCTGAAGATTATGTCTATTATTATATCACAATAAAAATTGTTTACTGAATCAATTGCAGGGTACAGAGACAGAGTTTTTATTATTTTTTTTTAAGATAGCATTATTCCACAAAGATTGACCTTATCTAAATGAGGTAATTCTATACTGACAGCACAGGTTTCCAGCAAAACACCAAAAATCACTATTTGGTATGTTGTACCTACATTACATTCTGAATTCAACTACCAATTTTCACTGAAAATTTTAACCTTCTTTGTGAACTGAGTGGGGGTGTACATGCATGTCCCCTTCCATTTTCACAATTACAAAATATTTTACCACACTCTATGTGAATGTAGAGGAAAGGAAAATATTGGTCCTTCATTTGCTGCAATCTATTGCAAAAATACTATACAGTTTAAATGTATATTTTACCTTCCAGACTGGAACTAGGCTAAGTTAGTTTTGACAGTGATGTTAATGAAATTGCTTTGGAAATGAACTATACTGAATGCATAAGTACTGACCCTATGAAAAAATGTTAGTGTGTTACTTCCAGTGGACCGGTCACTGTGGTAATCTGAAGTTTCCAAGTCTAAATCCCTAGTAAGGTATTGTCGTGGTTTAAACCCAGACAGACAGCTTGTTAACCACTGCCCCCCCTTTCTTGCCCTCCCCCTACTCCTGGAGGGACGGAGAGGAGAATCAGAAAGAATGCAACTCCCACGGGTTGAGATAAGAACAGTTTAGTAACTAAGGTATAACACAAACCACTACTGCTACCACCAATAATAGTAATGATAAAGGAAATAACAAGGGAAGAGAATACAACACCTCATCACCAGGTGACCGATAACTTGCTCCCCCCAGCCCGACCAAGCACCAACCGATACCTCCTCCAACCCTGCAGTCCCCCTCGCCCTTCCGGCTCACTCCCAGTTACCTCCTGGGCATGACGTGCTGTGGTATGGAATACCTCTTTGGTCAGTTTGGGTCAGGTGTCCTGTCTCTGCTTCCTCCCGGCTTCCCTCCTCCCTGGCAGAGCATGAGGCCCACAAAGTCCTTGGCCAAACCAAAACATCATTTTTATCAGCTCTGTTCCCAGCTGAAAGTCAAAACACAGCCCTGCACCAGCTACCAAGAAAGAGAAAAATGACTGCTACTGCTAAACCCAGGACATTATCCACCCCTTATTCCATACCATTCACGTCATGCTCAGATCCCACATTTTCAATATACCATCACTCTTATCTAAGTGCACTCTCATCGTAGTGCATGGGCCAGTCCCTATAAAGCTGCTGAGTCCATCTGGTCCATGATGTCAGGCTCCATCTCTTGTAACAGTCTTTCAGAGCAGGAGAGGCTGTGTGCAGTGTTCACACTCGTGAATAACCTGGGCAATAGTGTCCATTGCTAAGTCCACCCCTCGATCATGAGTCCATCTCTATGTTGCATCTCTGCTCTGATGGCCTTAAGGGTCATGGGCCCACCAGGCTCAAAATAATTCACTGTCCTTCCATCTCCAATGCTTCCAAAGCACTGGAGGGGCCCAGTGGACTAGATACTTGCCCATACTGTCCCACATGCCCTGCCACTCATGACTCTCCAGTCTTGGAGAAAACCTCTTGGTCCTCCCATATTGTCGTCTAACCCCAGACAAGACCCAAACCTGACTCTGCTTAACTTTTGAGATCAGACAAAATGGTGGTGGGTAAAACACACTCTGTGTGTGTGCCAACATGCTGATCCCCATCACAATCAGCAGGCAGGTCCCAAGGGTACCCAAAGGCCATCCAAAACCTTCAGAACTCTCAAACGATGCTGCTGTACTTGTCACTGGGGCTGGTGTAGCTGCTGTGCTTGCCGGCTCTCCCACCACCAGCTTCTCTTTTCCTGAGTCCAGCTCTTCCTCCTCTGCCTTGCTGGGAAATGCTGCGGGGTCTCCTGCATCCTCCTGGGGCTCGGCGGGCGGCTTCCGGGGAATGCTCTCGGCCGTCGCGGGGCTGGGCTCGGCCGCGGGGCTCGGCTCCTCTGCGGGGCTCGGCTCCTCCGCCGCCCCCTCCCGCTCCTCGGCCTCCCCGACCTCCTCCACCGGCAGCCGCTCCCTGCCGGCCTCCGGCCCCGCTCCCGCTTGGTGCCCGGGGCCGCTCTCCCGGGCCGCTTCAGCAGCCGCCGGCTCCCGGGGCCGCCCCCCCTCGGCTTCCCAGAGCCTCACGCAGACGGAGGCGAGGGCGAGGGCCAGGACGGTGAGGAGCAGCCGGACGGCCAGGGACCAGTCCACGGCCACGTCCGTCCCGCCCTGCTGCTGGAGCCCGCCCGTATTACAAGTCATTGCCATAAAGTACAGTGAGACAGGAACCTTAGCCCAAGCCCCACACTTGATAAACACTAACACAGCAAATACCGGCTCTAAGTAAGTTACAACATTCTGAAGCTGTGAGATCAAGAGGAACAACTCTGAGAGCCAATAAATCAGCATTGTGACGGTCAGATCTGTCGTTATCTCAACCCCTCGTGCCCCACGTTGGGCGCCAAAAAGAACTGTCGTGGTTTAACCCCAGCCAGACAGCTTGTTACCCACTCCCCCCCCTTTCTTGCCCTCCCCCTACTCTCGGAGGGACGGAGAGGAGAATCAGAAAGAATGCAACTCCCACGGGTTGAGATAAGAACAGTTTAGTAACTAAGGTATAACACAAATCACTACTGCTACCACCAATAATAGTAATGATAAAGGAAATAACAAGGGAAGAGAATACAACACCCCATCACCAGGTGACCGATAACTTGCTCCCCCCAGCCCGACCAAGCACCAACCGATACCTCCTCCAACCCTGCAGTCCACTCCTAGCCCTTCCGGGTAACTCCCAGTTACCTCCTGGGCATGACGTGCTGTGGTATGGAATACCTCTTTGGTCAGTTTGGGTCAGGTGTCCTGTCTCTTGCTTCCTCCCGGCTTCCCTCCTCCCTGGCAGAGCATGAGGCCCACAAAGTCCTTGGCCAAACCAAAACATCATTTTTTTTCAGCTCTGTTCCCAGCTGAAAGTCAAAACACAGCACTGCACCAGCTACCAAGAAAGAGAAAAATGACTGCTACTGCTAAACCCAGGACATTATCCACCCCTTATTCCATACCATTCACGTCATGCTCAGATCCCACATTTTCAATATACCATCACTCTTATCTAAGTGCACTCTATCGTAGTGCATGGACCAGTCCCTATAAAGCTGCTGAGTCCATCTGGTCCATGATGTCAGGCTCCATCTCTTGTAACAGTCTTTCAGAGCAGGAGAGGCTGTGTGCAGTGTTCACACTTGTGAATAACCTGGGCAATAGTGTCCATTGCTAAGTCCACCCCTCGATCATGAGTCCATCTCTATGTTGCATCTCTGCTCTGATGGCCTTAAGGGTCATGGGCCCACCAGGCTCAAAATAATTCACTGTCCTTCCATCTCCAATGCTTCCAAAGCACTGGAGGGGCCCAGTGGACTAGATACTTGCCCATACTGTCCCACATGCCCTGCCACTCATGGCTGTCCAGCCTTGGAGAAAACCTCTTGGTCCTCCCATATTGTTGTCTAACCCCAGACAAGACCCAAACCTGACTCTGCTTAACTTTTGAGATCAGACAAAATGGTGGTGGGTAAAACACACTCTGTGTGTGTGCCAACATGCTGATCCCCATCACAATCAGCAGGCAGGTCCCAAGGGTACCCAAAGGCCATCCAAAACCTTCAGAACTCTCAAACGATGCTGCTGTACTTGTCACTGGGGCTGGTGTAGCTGCTGTGCTTGCCGGCTCTCCCACCACCAGCTTCTCTTTTCCTGAGTCCAGCTCTTCCTCCTCTGCCTTGCTGGGAAATGCTGCGGGGTCTCCTGCATCCTCCTGGGGCTCGGCGGGCGGCTTCCGGGGAATGCTCTCGGCCGTCGCGGGGCTGGGCTCGGCCGCGGGGCTCGGCTCCTCTGCGGGGCTCGGCTCCTCCGCCGCCTTCTCCCACTGCTCGGCAGCCGCCTCCTCCCGCTCCTCGACCGCCCCGACCTCCTCCACCGGCAGCCGCTCCCTGCCGGCCTCCGGTCCCGCTCCCGCTTGGTCCCCGGGGCCGCTCTCCCGGGCCGCTTCAGCAGCCGCCGGCTCCCGGGGCCGCCCCCCCTCGGCTTCCCAGAGCCTCACGCAGACGGAGGCGAGGGCGAGGGCCAGGACGGTGAGGAGCAGCCGGACGGCCAGGGACCAGTCCACGGCCACGTCCGTCCCGCCCTGCTGCTGGAGCCCGCCCGTATTACAAGTCATTGCCATAAAGTACAGTGAGACAGGAACCTTAGCCCAAGCCCCACACTTGATAAACACTAACACAGCAAATACCGGCTCTAAGTAAGTTACAACATTCTGAAGCTGTGAGATCAAGAGGAACAACTCTGAGAGCCAATAAATCAGCATTGTGACGGTCAGATCTGTCGTTATCTCAACCCCTCGTGCCCCACGTTGGGCGCCAAAAAAGAACTGTCGTGGTTTAACCTCAGCCAGACAGCTTGTCCACTTCCTCCCCCCTCCTTCTTGCCCTCCCCCTACTCTCGGAGGAGAATCAAAAAGAATGCAACTCCCATGGGTTGAGATAAGAACAGTTTAGTAACTAAGGTATAACACAAATCACTACTGCTACCACCAATAATAGTAATGATAAAGGAAATAACAAGGGAAGAGAATACAACACCTCATCACCAGGCGACCGATAACTCGCCCCCCCAGCCCGACCAAGCACCGACCGATACCTCCTCCAACCCTGCAGTCCCCCTCGCCCTTCCGGCTCACTCCCAGTTACCTCCTGGGCATGACGTGCTGTGGTATGGAATACCTCTTTGGTCAGTTTGGGTCAGGTGTCCTGTCTCTGCTTCCTCCCAGCTTCCCTCCTCCCTGGCAGAGCATGAGGCTCACAAAGTCCTTGGCCAAACCAAAACATCATTTTTATCAGCTCTGTTCCCAGCTGAAAGTCAAAACACAGCACTGCACCAGCTACCAAGAAAGAGAAAAATGACTGCTACTGCTGAACCCAGGACAGGTATACAGTTCTATGAGCGGTAACACGTAATCATGTAGAGTGTTTTCATGTGCTATACAGGTAAAGACCAATTGGGTAAAGGTGACATTAAAAAGTTATGCCTACATTTATAGTAGTAGTAGAGCTGACATTTGTATATTGTCCTTTGTCACAAAAGACAATAAAATGCTGATAAATACATGTGTAATATCTATGAAGTACAGCAGTCAAGTGCTGCACAAGGACACCAGATCAAATTTTCCTGTAAAAAGAATGCCCTGCCAGTTTTAAGTGGCCCCACAGAGCAGATGTACTTCTGTTTTTCTGAAGGCACTGTCAGCATATTATCCTCTTCATACCTTGTAAACTACACAGTATTTTGATCAAAGAACAATTCTGTTCTCTGAGCCTGTGGGTTGAGGGAATCTAGTTATATTGAGAGCTAATGCTTGGACTGTATAGATATTTCCTCTGGCTTGTCAGAATGGAGATTTAAAATGTTTTGCATCTGGCTGGAAGTGCTATTGTAGATGTGCTTCAGTTGTTTTTGTCATAGTGTCTTACATTCCTGGATGACAGACTGTTGAAAACACCAGCTATTTGTCTACATAAATGCTCTTTCCATTACTACCACTGGTGAGGTACTGGTACAAGTTAGAGTAGTAACAAAGATGGAAGTTGCTAAAGCCTTCAGCACAAACAAGATCAACTGACTTTTCTAGCAAACTACAGACTTGCAATTTCCTTCAGTCAGTTTTTCAAAGTGGTTTTAGTTAAGTATGCTGTGAGATTAGCAGGATTGAGGCTGTAACTATCACACTGTCACTGTCTTCATAAACACTTAGGATGAATTACAGCTCTAGACTGCCAGCATAAACACATCACAGAATTGCATGGGAGCAGATGGTTATTAACTCGGTCAGAATGTTAGGCATCTTTACCTGGTATAAATGAGTACTTTGCTTGAAATCCCTTTCCTTCCAGATCTTCATCAGAAGTAAACTTAATCCACATAAATCTCCCCGCTGATCTAATTAGTGCAGGACTTTTCAAACCACAGTAACTATTAATGCTCTTTCACGGACACCCCCTTGTCGTGGGGAAAGAGCTTGCGTGCCCTTGTGAAGTTGGGAGTTATGCTGGTGGTGGCTTATGCTTCTGGTAGGGTCTCCCATGCCAGTCAGCTCTCAAATGAAGGGTCAGACAAAGTGTGTCCATGGGCAGGATGGGCTCACTAGCCTTCAGGCAACCATCCTAGGAGAAGGACAACTCCAACTTCAAACCCGGGCAGATGGAGCTCGTGTAGCCCTGTAAGGCCATCCATCTAAGAGAAGGATACTCTAATTAAACCTACGACCTGAGGACTTTGCTGTCACCGTCCAAGCTTGCTAGGCCCTGGCAGATAAACCTCAGGTGTAAAGGGTGAGGCCAGTTCTGCGCACGCTGTTCCTCACCTAAAATAAATCCACTGCGCAGGCCCGAAGGGTTTACCCACACTTGCAAAGCCCTGTAGCGACAGGTGAGGGACGAAACGGCAGGTGATAAGGTGCACTGGAAGTCGCAGACCCAACCCTGCATGCAGGCGGTTCAGGACATTGGTCGCTCAAGTCTGACCCAGGAGATGACAGTCTTGTTTGGCAGCATCCTGAATGACCAAGCAGCCTTTTTCAAGGACAGCACTGCTTGCTCCATATGGAGAGAGGCCTAGAAAAGGTGGCCTAACCAAAGCTCATCTCCCCCTCCACCTGGTTGGCTAGCCGCGGCCAACGGGCATCTTCTATTGCGGTCAATTAAAGACAAAGAGACAAAGGCATACACCTGCCTCCAAAGGTGTGTCCAGATTGACACTCGCATGTTGGAACATCAGAACCATGCTTGATACAGTGAACAGTGGGCGTCCTGAGCGCCGTTCTGCACTAATTGCCCATGAATTGTCACGTCTTAACATCGATATCGCTGCACTCAGTGAAGTTCGCCTTCATGAGGAAGGTAGCCTCAAAGAACATGGTGCTGGCTATACACTCTACTGGTCAGGCAAACCCAAAACTGAAAGTCATTTTTCTGGAGTCGGCTTCATGATTAAAAACTCCATAGCCTCTAAACTTGAAAATTTGCCAATAGGTCATTCCGACCGTATTATCTCCTTACGTCTTCCACTACACAATAAGCAACACGTTGTTCTTTTCAGCATATATGCTCCAACTCTGCAAGCTGACCCTGCAGAAAAAGAAAAATTCTACTCCGACCTGCGTCACCTCACTCAGAAAGTTCCTATAGAAGATAAGATCATAATCCTTGGTGATTTCAACGCCCGAGTAGGAAAGAACTTTGAAGCCTGGAAAGGAGTACTAGGCAAGCACGGTGTTGGCAGCTGCAATGATAACGGTCATCTCTTACTAGAGTTCTGTGCAGAGCAACAGCTTACCATCACCAACACTATCTTCCAGCAGAAAGACAGCTGGAAGACAACCTGGATGCATCCTCGATCTAAACATTGGCACCTTATTGACTATGTTTTAGTGCGCCAGAGAAATATTTGTGATGTCTGCCAGACCAGAGTGATGCCTAGTGCAGAATGCCAAACAGACCACCGCCTTGTGCGTTGCAAACTTAAGTTCCACTTCAAGCCCAAACCTAAGAGGGGCGGCATTCCAAGGAGGAGGCTCAATGTTGATAATCTTCAAATAGCTGCAGTGAGGGACAGCTTTCAGGCTAACCTTCAAACTAGGCTTGAAGACCAACTTATAGATTCTTCTCCTGAAGCGCTTTGGCAACATATCAAAAACAGCATCCTGCAGTCCTCCGTAGAATCCATTGGGTTCTCCTCAAAGAAAAACAAAGACTGGTTTGACGATAGCAACCAGGAGGTCCAGGAATTGCTGACAAAAAAGAGATCTGCTCATCAAGCACACCTCGCTCAGCCACTCTGCCATGTAAGAAAAGCAGCCTTTCGTCTTGCATGTAGCAAACTCCAACAGAAACTTAGAGACATCCAGAACAAGTGGTGGCTCAACCTAGCAGAAAAGACTCAACTATGTGCAGATTTGGGTGACCACAGAGGATTCTATGAGGCTCTGAAGGCAGTGTATGGACCCACATTCCAGGTTCAAAGCCCCTTACTTGGTGCAGATGGCCAAACGCTTCTTACAGATAAAATCTCCATCCTGAATCGTTGGTCTGAACATTTTCAAACCCTCTTTAGTGCTAATCGTGTAGTCCAAGGTGAAGGAATCCAGCACATTCTGCAACATCCAGTGAAAAACGAATTGGATTTAGCCCCTACCATGGGAGAGACTCTTAAGGCCATACAGCAGGTGAAAACTGGCAAGGCAGCTGGGGTTGACGGAGTCCCACCTGAAATATGGAAGCATGGAGGCCAAGCACTCCACGCTAAATTTCATGAGCTAGTTGTGTGCTGTTGGGAACAAGGCAAAATACCGTCAGACTTTCGTGACGCAATCATCGTCACTCTGTATAAGAAAAAAGGTGCCAAGTCAGACTGCTCAAACTACCGTGGTATAACTCTGCTCTCCATTGCTGGTAAAATTCTTGCAAGAATACTATTGAACAGACTAGTACCTGCTATCGCAGAAGAACTTCTACCTGAAAGTCAGTGTGGTTTCAGGGCTAATAGAAGTACCACAGACATGGTATTTGTTCTCAGACAATTGCAAGAAAAGTGTAGAGAACAGAATAAGGGGTTATATGTAACTTTCGTTGACCTCACCAAAGCTTTTGACACTGTGAGCAGGAAAGGCTTGTGGCTGATCTTAGAACGATTAGGTTGTCCCCCCAAGTTCCTCAAAATGATTATTCTGTTACATGAGGATCAGCAAGGCCAAGTCAGGTATGGCGATGCACTCTCTGAGCCTTTCCCAATAACCAATGGTGTGAAACAAGGTTGCGTTCTCGCACCGACCTTATTCACAATCTTCTTTAGCATGATGCTCCAAAGGGCTACAGCAGACCTCAACGAACAAGACGGCATTTATATTCGATATCGTACCGATGGTAGCCTATTCAATCTAAGGTGACTGAAGGCCCACACTAAGACCCTAAACCATCTTGTCCGTGAACTGCTCTTTGCTGATGATGCCGCCCTTGTTGCCCACACAGAAGCAGCTCTGCAGCGTTTAACATCTTGCTTTGCGGAGGCGGCTGAGGTTTTTGGGCTGGAAGTCAGCTTGAAGAAGACAGTAGTCCTCTACCAACCTGCACCCCAAGAAGATTATCGCCGTCCCCATATTACCATCGGCGAGTCAGACCTTAAGACAGTTCAGCAGTTCAGCTATCTGGGAAGCATCATTTCCTCGGATGCCACGATCGACAAAGAGATAGACAACAGAATAGCAAAGGCATATAGAGCCTTTGGAAAACTCCATAAAGGAGTCTGGTGTAATAAACACCTGAAGAAAAGTACAAAGGTCAGTGTCTACAGAGCCATTGTATTGTCTACTCTTTTATATGGGTCTGAATCATGGGTCATCTACCGTCATCACCTGCGACTCCTGGAACGCTTTCATCAGCGCTGCCTCCGTACAATTCTAAACATCCATTGGACTGACTATGTGTCTAATGTCACTGTCCTCGAACAGGCAGGGGTCACCAGCATCGAGGCCATATTGCTGAAATTGCAGCTGCGCTGGGCAGGGCACGTCTCTAGAATGAAGGATCACCGCCTCCCCAAGATCGTGTTTTATGGTGAACTTGCCACCGGTAGCCACAAGAGAGGTGCCCCAAAGAAGAGATATAAGGACTCCCTGAAACAATACCTTAGCCTTGGCCATATTGACTACCATCAGTGGTCCACCTTGGCCTCCAATCGGGAGACTTGGAGGCACACCATACATAATGCCGCTGACTCCTTTGAGAGTTCACGAAGAACTAGTCTCGAGGAGAAAAGACAACGCAGGAAGAATCGTGTCCCACCTGTTCCACCCAAGGAGACCTTCTGCTGTGCTTTTTGTAGCCGGATTTGCCTATCCCACATTGGCCTTCTTAGTCATCAGCGCGCTTGTAGTAAGCGTGGGTAAAAGCCCTTCCCAAATCTTCGTTCGTGAAGTCAAGCCATGATGATGAACTATTAATGAGAGGGGAGAAACCAAAAGGTCTATCTCGAACCTCCAGGTCATCAAACCGACATTCAAATGAGGGTTCTATGTAATAAGTCTCATCAAAGGTCAACTCAATTCTTTGTCGTGGAGCAGCTAGACATAAAACTTTGAGCAAAAGATTAAATTAAGATCTATATAAAAAGCACATGAAGACATAGAATAATGAAGAAACAGACCTCCAAGACAGCAAGATAAAAAAGAGACTGGAAACTTCTCAAAATACATCTGGAAGTCTGCTACAAAAACTCAGATACACTATAATAAAAAATTTAAAAATTATTATAGAGGAGATCCTTTTTCATGGATTCTTTTTTTTGCTTGCTGATCTTTATTGTTGAAAATTCAGAAATAACATAAATTGAATTCAGCACATGTAACAGATACTAGCATATATGCAAAGGTATTCAAACAAGGTTTAATATTAAATTAAATTCAGTGTTCTGTGAAAACAAAGTACATAAAAAAAGGACAAAACATTGAGGGATGCAGAAAAGAATGGAAAAGAAAAAGTTATGAAGAACTACTCACTGGTATATTTCCTAAACATCAAGCCCAAATTCAGAGAATCCTTTGGCAGGAGACACCTTTTATTAGAATATTCAGAGAAGTGTAAATGCTTCATATACATTATTAATATGCAGGTGACTACTAAGTCTGAACGAGTGGCAGCCTAACATCAGGACTTGGATCAGATCCCTAAATCCCGAGTTGATGCAGCTGTGGTTACTTTTTGACCAGACTTCCACATCTGTAGTTCAGAACTGTGATTTATATTGTATGAATAGCTTAAGTGTTTCTTGTTCTTGTCATCTATTAAGCTACATGAACTTTCAGATACTAATTGGTTATCTGGAATGACAGCATTAAAGAATCACATACTGTCAGCTTCTTCTGAATGCAAAAAGGATTTACTTGTATGTCTCTACCACTTTTTTTAGAACTTACACTTTATACATGAGTTAAAAACATTTGTAGCTGTTTGCACATATTGGCAGAGGTCTGTAGGAATACTTTATCTAGAAATTGTGGAGGACCTTGGCCTCACTCAGGTAACCATAATGTTTCTGTATAAGGATTGGGAGGCTCTGTGCCCCATGGAAATTGCCTCATGCCAGGGAGATCCAGCAGTGGATATGGTATGTCCCAACACTGAAGCTGGACAGATCTGCTCCCCAGTGCCTTCACTGTCAGGGAAGATACAGAACTTCAGATGTGAATGCATAGAAGCAAAAATGAGGGTGTCTGTGAACTACTACTATACTGTACATATAAAACCTCACTGAAACATGTTACTTGAAATATTTCAGTTAATTGATATGAATCTGATCATTAAGCTGACTAACGTTTTTAGCTGACTTCAGTGGGTTTTGGATGCATTCTAATAAGAGGAGAAAAAAATTAGTGTGTCCCAAGTCTTACAGCCTTTACCCAAGATATTCTCATTGGAACGTGGTTTTATTCTAGTTAATTAAATTTTTTTGTCCTCATCACATTATTTCAGTAGTGACCTCCCCAGTGCTAACAAATCTCCATATTTTTAATACAGTGCCATAGCAGTAAGATGTGTGGTTTTTATTAATAAAGGACAGCATAAAGATTTTCTGCCTGTGGAATACACTTTGAATAATCCAGTATGGTCTCGTAAATGCTGAAGACAGTCTTCAAGCATCTTTTGCAGTTTATCATCAGCAATATCGGAAGTGATATTACGATAACAAACTACAATTTTTATCTTAGTAGTTCTGTGTCTTCATAGATTACAATAGATCTGATGCTGCTTTTTCTCTCTGTGAGGGTACGTATTATTCCGTATAGCTAATTCCCGAATGACTGCATTTTCTATTAATGTATTGTTATTACTTCAGAGAACCAATTTAGCTTCTTGTTTAACCAAATGACTGCAGAATTGATTATATTACTAGTACGGCTATACAGTATTTGACAGTATAGTAAGATGACACAGTTTTAACAGTTCGAGATTATACATTGAACAGTAAGGTTACAACACAACAAAAGAGAAATACAGCATGTACCTTCTAAGATATAGATGCACTCTTGATTTGGTGGGTACATGTTAGGGTAGTTTGGTGAAGCAAAATGCCCTCTATTACTTGTCCTTGCCCAATTGTCACACTGGGTGGAAGGAATACGATTCACACCAATATTTTGCCCACCTTAAGTGGGGAAAAAAAAAAACGGGGATCAAATAAATTTCTCCTACAAGCATGCAAGTTTGATTTTGGAAAAAAGTAAAACACTGACATAACCCATATCCTATGAAAGAAGAAAGTAATTTATTTTGGTGGAAACCCCTCTTCTATGCCCCTTGCTAGCATCTAGGTAGGAAAATCTTATGTTTAATTTAGTGATGCGGTGTACCCTAAAGAGATCACAGTTTTGGAATATCAAATATGTCCACTAATTCTTGGGAAGGGAAGAGAGGGACTAAATTTTTTTTTAGCCAAGTCAGTTTAGACTTTTTGATGCTTCTTTCTAAGTCAAACGGTCACAGTAGCTGCCAATATAGCAGCATTATTTTATGGCTTATGTCTTCTCCACTCCTATGCAAATATAATCTAAAATACTTGTTAGCTTTTACTATTTTTGCCCTGATTCCGGATTATACTGAAGTATGTGACCCCTAGCCTAAATATATATCTACTTTTTTTTTTAAATACAGAATGTTTAGAACAAATTATAATTTGCAAAATACACTAAATACAACAATGGTAGCTAATAAAATCACTAGCAATAGGTAGATTGCACTGGTAGCAAAGGGTCTCATTTAAGATGAGCTACAGGTTGGGCAGAGAAGAGATTCAGAGCAGCCCTGTGGAGAAGGACTTGGGGGTGTTGGTCGATGAGAAAATGAACATGAGCCAGCAGTGTGTGCTTGCAGCCCAGAAAGCCAACTGTATCTGGGGCTTCATCAAAAGAAGCATGACCACGTCGAAGGAGGTGATCCTGCACCTCTACACTACTCTTGTGAGACCTCACTTGGAGTACTGTGTACAGTTATGGTATCCTCAGCATAAAAAGGACATGGAGCTGTTGGAACAAGTCCAGAGGAGGGCCACAAGGATGATCAGGGGACTGGAGCACCTCCTGTATGAAGACAGGCTGATAAAGTTGGGGCCGGTCAGCCTGGAGAAAAGAAGGCTGCATGGAGACCTCATAGCAGCCTTCCAGTATCTGAAGGGGGCCTATAGGGATGCTGGGGATGGACTCTTCATTATGGACTGTAGTGATAGGACAAGGGGTAATGGGTTCAGACTTTAACAGGGGAAGTTCAGGTTAGATATAAGGAAGAAATTCTTTACTATGAGGGTAGTGAGACACTGGAATGGGTTGCCGAAGTAAGTTGTGAAGGCTCTATCCCTGTCAGTGTTCAAGGCCAGGTTGGATGGAGTCTTGGGTGACATTGTTTAGTGTGAGGTGTTACTGTCACCTAGCAGGTGGGTTGGAACTAGATGATCTTAAGGTCCTTTCCAACCGTAACTATTCTATGATTCTGAGATCATTCTGGATGCACAGGGAAATATGATCCTTGACTGAGATTATGCACTTTACTAAACTAATGCACCATGCTGGATTATTCACAGGAGCTTTGTTAGTTCAGATTTCCTTATCCAAAGAGAAAGGAGTTGGGAATAGTATGATCTCTGACATTCTTCTCAAGTACCTTTGTACCTTCTTGTTATCAGCAGAACTGGAGAGAGTAAGACAGGATACGTGGTTTCTGCAGATTTGTCCAGTCTCACAGGGTGCTCTCATAATGTTATTTATATTTACACAGTTTTAATTGGCTGCCTCCAGTAAATTATATCACCTTCCACCAGTTTCGTGGCAGCTTTTAGATTTATGTGGGTGAAAATTTAGTCTCTCCTGCAGAAACTGTTAAAGGAAATTCTGTAGGTGTCAGTTCTAGGAATTATCTCCTAAGTGTGTGTTAATCCCGCATATAAGAAAATAAATTTTGTGAAACTGATGCCTTCCCCACTCAGCAAGCTTCAAAAATGGTTGTGGGTGGACTATTTGAAAAGCTTGTCATACACAGAAAACATGAATTTCTCTGGTGTTTAATTTCCCACTTCTACAGTCTAAACCCATAGAATTTTAGCTGGGTAAGCAAACTTCCATATTCTTTGTGACTGGATGGCTTTGTTCACTTGGAAAAAAATGTAGTAAATAGAGGGAAATGGAAAAAACTAGAATTCACATTGGTAATTCAAGAGCTATTAATATCTGAACACAAATACTTTCACTTATATTGCTTAATTAAAAATGAGACAACTATTACATTTTTTTGAAAGAAAATCATCAAACCAAAATTGTACCTTGTGTCTTCTGTGCAATGGCAATCCCTTCCACTACAAAGGTTGTTACTAGCAACACTGATGAGAGAAATTGGACAGGAAAAACATCAGTAATCAAAATTATAGACTATTTTCTGCAGTCCTGAATCATGCAAATCCTATAAATCATTAACCACAACAACTCGAAACATACCAAAATACATAATGCATTTATGTGCTTTCTTAAAATTTCACCTTTAGGAAACCAGTACAGTCTAAGTGCAGTGTTGATTCTTCCAGGTTCCTTAAGAAAGCATATATGAGAATAGCAATTTTTATTGTTTGAGGGAGCTTCAAGGATATCTTCTAGAGCATCTGCTAATCATAGAATCATAGAATAGTTAGGGTTGGAAAGGACCTTAAGATCATCAAGTTCCAACCCCCCTGACATGGGCAGGGACACCTTGCTCTAAACCATATCACCCAAGGCCTCGTCCAACCTGGCCTTGAACACTGACAGGGATAGAGCATTCACAACCTCCCTGGGCAACCTATTCCAGTGCCTCACCACCCTAACAGGAAAGAATTTCCTCCTTATATCCAATCTAAACTTCCCCTGTTTAAGTTTTAACCCATTACCCCTTGTCTTATCACTACAGTCCCTAATGAAGAGTCCATCCCCAGCATCCCTACAGGCCCCCTTCAGATACTGGAAGGCTGCTATGAGGTCTCCACGCAGCCTTCTCTTCTCCAGGCTGAACAGCCGCAACTTTCTCAGCCTGTCTTCATATGGGAGGTGCTCCAGTCCCCTGATCATTCTCGTGGTTCTCCTCTGGACTTGTTCCAACAGATCCCTTGAGCCCTTCAGACAGTTCCAGAGTAAGTGTGCACTCGGTGACTGTGAACTACGGTGATTTCAACTAAACTCATCTAGATGCAATGTTGGCATACGATACATTGCCTTGGGGAAAGAGGAAAGGAAACAAAGTCTGCCCTCAAAAGTGTCCCTCTAGCATTTGCAGTTTATTATATGGGTTTTTGATGCCCTTTTTTCTCTCTCCCCATATTAAAACAGGCTGTATACCATTATAAGACTTTCATCCCTTGTACGTTGAGTTCAGAAACTGTGAATGTTCTAAAATACGATATGGGTCTTTCTTGCAAACAACTGCTATGTTCCTAGAAGCTCATTTGATTTTTTAGGTATGGATTATGAGGTTGTAGGTTATGACTTAGGTATCTTTGCAATAATTCTGCATTTTTAATATACTGAAAAAAATACTTCTTAACAGTCTGTCCTGGGTTCAGCTGTAACAGTTATTTTTCTCCTTCTCAGTAGTTGGTGCAGTGCTGTGTTTTCGACTTCAGCCTGAGAACAATGCTGATAACACACCAATGTTTTAGTTGTTGCTAAGTAATGCTTACCCCCATCAAGGACTTCTCAGTCTCTCATGCTCTGCCAGTGAGGAGGGGCACAAGAATCCGGGAGGAAGCAGAAACAGGACACCTAACCCAAAGTAGCCAAAGGGATATTCCATAACACAGCACGTCATGCCCCGTATATAACATGGGGGACTCACCCAGAAGGCCCAGATTGCTGCTCGGGTCGGGCTGGGTATCACTCGGCAGGTAGTGAGCAATTGTATTGTGAACCACTTGTGTTAATTATTTTTCCCTTTCCCCTTTAAGTTTTATATTTTCTCCCGTTGTTATTTCCCTTATCATTATCGTTATTAGTGGTGGTAGTAGTAGTTTTGTATTATACCTTAGTTACTGGACTGTTCTTATCTCAACCCATGGGATTTAGATTCTTCAGATTGTCCTCCCCATGCCACTGGGAGCAGAGGGGGGAAGAAGGGGGGGAGTGAGCAAGTGATTGCATGGTTCTGACTTACCAGCTGGGCTTAAACCCAAATATAAATTATCAATTGTTAATCGTTGCTGACTCATCCTAGATTGAAAATTCATCCTTCAGAAGAAAGTATCTAGTACCCATTACTGGTCTTCAAGTTATGGATAATCACTAGTCTTTAAAGCATATAAAATAAACAAATTTCCCATCTTTATTAACATTTGATTGACATTAGCTTTCAGGTATTTTTATTTAGCATTTCTTCTATAGAAGCCACTATTTCAAAATGATTTGCAGTTCATTTTTGCATCTTCTGTGTTTAAACTATGCACTCAGATGATCAGAGTTTAAGCGCATGAACTTGTAATGCATTTGTACTCCTGAGATTGCTTGTCCCTAACAATCTTGATGGTGGTTATAAAGTTGTCTATGTATTTTCTTTGCTTTTTTTCTATACTGGTTTTGGAACAACAGTTCAAAGTTGGCTTTTATCATTAAAGTAAATGCAGCTTCCACAATTTTATGTAAAGCACGTGTCACTATGTTCTTAAAGATTTGCTGTGCCCACCCTCTGTTTTGCAAAGACATTTCAATGTCTATACAACTTGTTGTGATAGCTCTTAAAATGCAAAATGGGTTTTGTCTTTTTCTGTCAAAGCAAACACACACAGAAATGTAAGTAAAATAAGTATTTTGATGACTAACAATACTAATACAGATAGTCACTTTCAAGTGAAAAATCTGGGGGTTTGGTATGGACACAGTGTTCTCACAGGAGAATGGATAATTGGTACATAAACTCTGAATAATCCTCAAAGATACAGCAAGGCCTTGAGAGGCCAGAGGAAGCTGAAGCAAGCAAGATGAGAAGAAGCTGTAATTCACTGAGTTATGAGAACTGTGGGCTGTTGGCAAGCTTTCAAGGTCAAGTTCTCACACCTGTGCTTAACCAATTATGTGTTAGTTGCTAAGGGTCTTCAAGACATGCATCCAATCACAAGATGCCAAATCACTGTAAGTGCCTGTAAGAAATGGTATATAAGGAGTTAAAAGCTTTCTAATAAATTGGCAATCGCTGATCACATTGATCGTTCCTGTGTTGTTGTCCGTGACTCCCATGTCAACAAATGGCGCCTGAACAGGGACCCTCAGATCGGTAACTTGCGGCATGCAAGTTTGAAGGTCCGATCAAAGAAGAGGGGGTGGAGAGCCAGCCGAAAGTCAGCGCTGCCCTGGCGCTGTGAAGTCAGACGTCTGCAAACTGTGGGACCTCGCCCTGAACAGGTGAGTGGCCAGGGAGGAGATGGGGCACACAAAAGAAACCTCTGAACCCTTTGCCCCACCCTCCTACAATCCAGTAGTAAAGGAAGGGGAGTGGGAGGCGGGTGTTGGGCATGGAGTAGGGGATTATGGTAATAACCCTGCTAAATGTTGGCGTGGGATGATCAAAGATGCAATTGTTATGGGGGAATTTTCAGCTATGGGTCCCTCTTTATTCCTGGTGTTTAACTCTCCACAGGGGGGAAAGGAGTGGGAGGCATTGGATTTAAAGGTAGTAAAGGCAGCCCGTCAACTGGTAACATCCTATGGGTTAAAATCATCGTACACTCAGGCGATTATCACAGATATTCTTTCTGCATATATTTTAGCATTATATGATATCCGTATGATAGCTCAATCACTGCTTACTTCCCACTTTCAGATATGGTTTAAAGTGGGCACAGCAGAGGAAAAGGCTTGGTACATGGCTACTGCCTTCACCACTGCTGTTAAACCCCTTCTACAATAAAATCAGGGTGATCGTGAGGGTAATAAAGGTATGAGATGCTATAATTTTGGACGGATGGGACATTTTAAAAAACAGTGTACTGTAAAGAAAATCAGTTCAGCAACCCGCCCCCCTCAGTGTGGTTTTACTGTTTTTGCAGATAAATGTATTAAACGTGACAAATTTGCACACAAGACAATTGAATGTCATTGGTTTGCTGTGGAGAGTTTTATTGACACATGGCTTGGAGAGTGGGGGCATGAAGAGCACATAGGACTTGTGGGCCAGTAACAAGAGCAAGGTGTAAGCAATAGCCAGGCAACCAATCATAGGCAAGGTCGTTCTGCCCTTGTGCTAGCTTGGAAAGTCCCTAATTGCAATAACAGGGTGTAAAAAGAGGCTCTAATTTGCTGAAGTTAATTGCAAAAGGGGCGGCGCTGACAGTTAGCAATTAACCAATAATGAGCTCAGGTTTTGCAATATGTATGAGCTCATTATAGATGCTATATAACCTGTAACCGAGCATTCAAGAGGAGAGACTAGTTGCATTATAGGATGGACTTGTCTCCCGTCGTTTTTCCACAGTTTGCAACCTGGCTTGCCTAGCCCTTCAATGATACCTCAGGGTTGGGATTTAATAATTGATTTAAAAGACATTTTTCACAATTCCTCTATACCCAACCAATTGTGAAAAATTTGCTTTCTCTGTCCCAGCAATTAACAAAGGGGAGCCTGCTAAGAGATAGGAATGGGTTGTTTCACCTCAAGGTATGAAAAATTGTAGTTATTTGTCAACTGTATGTTGCCTGGGCATTGCAACCGATATGACAAAAACTGCAAAAATGTGTTATCTATCACTATATGGATGATATACTAATTGCAGGCAAAGATTTAGACAAGGACCATCTGCTCTATCTGCTACAATCAGAATTAGGGGAAGCAGGACTGGTAATTGCACCAGACAAGGTGCAGCGTGAAGCCCCTTGGAAATATCTGGGGCGGATCATTCCCGGAACTGAAATTAAGCCTCAAAAATTTAAAATTACCACACAGATAAAAACCTTGTCTGACTGGCATAAATTGATGGGAGGTATCCAATGGGTCCGCCCTTTGTGTGGAATCACAGATGATGATCTGACTGATCTCATGCCCCTTTTAAAGGGTAAGTCAAAGGCAGAAAAAAGAAAAAAAGAAAAGAGTTGTATCAAACGCTCAGTATGAGGCCTTAGATCACATTATGACAAAAATCACTACCTCATATGCTTCTCAATAAAATCCAGATTTACAGGTTATTCTGTTTATTGTCAACAGTGAGTATTATCCATTTAGTCTACCAGCACAGTGGGATCTTCAAAAGACTGATCCTTTATGCATTTTAGAATGGATTTTCCTATGTAAAACTGTAACTACTCGGTTAGAAGTATTTGCTCTTTTGATTGTACGAGGTCGTTCACGTTGTCAGGAAATTATGGGCTGTGA